ACACAACACTTCTATGCGATGTCCACTTTCCAGCAATACACAGAGACAGAAAACTTCCTCAGCTTTCCAGGAACACGCAGAGACAGAACACATATGCCTTGGGGAAAAATAAGACATCTAAGTGTGGAAATGAGTAAACATAGCTGTCACTGTTCCAGACAACAATATTATTCAAGCGGAAATCCCAGGAAGTCAGCGAGGAAGCCTTGGTAGCCATGAATGGACCAGTCGGAGGGACGGTTAGCAGAGAACAGTCACATGACCAGATCACATCCTGTCTCTCGTGTTGCCTGGTCAGCGCGACACTGCAAGTTTTAATGCGGTGCATTGATGAAAATAAACGAATGGATAAGAGGTGGGGGGAAAGAACCAAAACTGTCTTTATTCAGAAAAAAATATTTCTTTGTAGAATAGCCAAGAGAAACCACAGATGAATTATGAGAATTAATAAGAGAACTTGGCCCATTTTCTGTGCCTGAAATCGATTGTGTACCCGCTACTTCTAAATCAAACTGAAAATACAATTACTTATATATACACACGTATATAAATATACTATTTATAATAGAAGCAAAATAAATAAGATACCCAGGAATAAATCTAGCAAAAGAAATTATACAATCTTAATAAAGATGCTAAATAAGACCTCAATAAAGAAAGATATCCTATGTTTCTGTCTGGGAAACTTAAAATCATAAGGCTGTCTGGATTCCACAATTATATTTTAACACAGCTCCAGTAAGACTGTCAACAGAATTAGTCATGGATCTTGACAAGTTGATGGTAATGTGTCTATGAATAGGAAAAAGAAATCAGTAACAAAGACAATTTTGAAGAACAAGCTGAAATAACACTTTATGAGAGAGCAAGATTTACTGTAGAGCTATGTAGTATGTAAAACAATATGGTGCATTGGTACCAACCAATGGAATAGAATAAAAAGCTAAGAATAAGATTCACACATCTGTGGAAACACAAGTCTTGTCAGAGGTCATATTTCAAATCAGTAGGCAACGATGTACTTATTCAATAAATGTTAGTAAATTAGATTATCCATATACGTATATGGATATATATATATATATATATATTTAAATCTTACATCAGATACCAAACTCAATTCCAGATTACTGGCTTATTGTGAAAGTCAAAGCTTTAGAAGAACATACAAGAGAACATCTTAAGTAACAAATTCTGACAAGACTTAAGGGAGATTGGAACCTGTATACATATGGCCGATGGGACTGCGCTGTGCGCCAACCACTATGGAAAGCGATTCAGGGCTCTTGAAAAAACTAGGAAAAGAAAAGTTATGCAAGCCAGCATTCCCGCTCCTAGGTGTATACACACACACACACACACACACACACACACACACACACACGGAGTCTTCAAAAATCTCTGGGGAAATGGAACACATCACTTCTATGCCATGTCAGCTTTCCAGGAATGCACAGAGATAGAAAACTTCCTCATTCTTTTCATAAGACGGACGAACGCCTTCAAAAATAAAGAACTGGGAAAATAAAAAGCCCCAAAGTATAACCACTACCCCACCAGGGACTTGGCGGCCACCAGAGACCTAGAATCATCTTAAGGACCTGGAAGCATCTAAGGCAATAGCTAAAACACAATTCCTAAAGGTCCTGTTCTACACCCTGCTCTGGTGAGTGATGCCCATGGTCTTCAAAGCTTGTGGGCAGCCATCTAAGGAGCATCTATTGGTCTCTTCCCACCTGGAGCAAAGGAAAAAGAAGATTCCCAAAGGCCCAGTGTGTTGGTCCAGGTAGAATAGAGGAGCCAATCCAGAGACCCTTGTGGATCCATGGCAGTTGGAAGCATCTCAGCGCTGGCAGGCGTCTCCATGTGGCTCCTCCAGCTCCAGGACTCTAGTGTGGCTTCATGTGTCTTGCCAGCAGAGTTGTCTCACCAGGAGTGAGTGTGTTCCGCCTCCAGTGAGCCATTTATCTCCGTTGTGCCTCTGAATGAGGTCATCAGCTGCAACCTGATTGACAGGCCAAACTCCACCCCTACCTCAAGTTGACAGATTATGTAACTGCCACGCTCAAGAAAGCAGTTCATCCCGTGGGATGCATGACCCACATGAACCACAGAGACGAGAAGAACTAAGTGGTGGCATGGCTTTCCCAGCCCATCATGCTGATTAGGACCACATAGGAGGTCCAATTCAAATGGGTTCTGAGACAGCCTTCTACCTTGAAATGCAAGAAATACCTCTGAGTTAATTAGTTTATTGTGCCAACCTGGCTGATAAACACATGTGGGATTAATTGAAGGGCGGAGGGATAAATGGCTCAATGAGCCTTGCCTTTCTAGTTCTCGGGTCTCTTACTTTCTGATGGTCGGACCGGGGTGCAGCTGCCTTATCCAGTTCCCTGCTTCAGCTTGCAAGGCTGAACTTCCTGCAAGACATCCCCAAGGAGAAGCCACATGGACCTACCCCGATGTAGCCCTGGGTGCTGGAGCAACCGTGTGGAGACCCCTGCCAACGCTGAGATGCTTACACATTCACTGACTTGGCTTTCCTCCTGCAGTCGGCATCATGCGTCTGTTTTATGAGATGGAGGAGGACTTTGTGGATTGGTGTTGGACATATGGGTTAATGTTGGACTTGTGGACTTGGGCAGCACTGGGTTGGGATGTTTTCTTTCTTTCTTTTTTTTAAAACATTTTATTAGGGGCTCATACAACTGTTATCCCAATCCATACACACATCAATTATGTACAGCGCATTTGTACATCGTTTCTCAAAATATTTTCTTGATGCACACTTAATCTTTACATAAAACTCTCTCTTATACATGGGTTGCTGTGGATTTGTTTCTCTAAAGTACCAGACTAACACAACCTCTCAGCCCAATAGGAGACAGGCCTGGGACACCAACAAGAGCCGCAGGAAGGATGTGCTCTTCGTAACAGCCCCCTCCACACGAGGCCCAAACAGCAAGGGCATTCGCCCGCAGCTGACGATGAGCTGGGGTGGGGCAGAGACACCTGATCAAGGGGAACAAGGGGCAAAGGGAGAGGGCTGGCCCTCAGACCACAACCAATGACACGGAACAATGTGTGCAGTGACTAGAAAATTGATTTGTTATGTAAACTTTCAGCTGAAGCACATTAAAATGTTCTGGGGTATGAAAAAAACAGGTGGGGTGGGGGACAGAATAGCTTCTTACGTTAGAATACGAAAGATTTGTTTAAACAAAATGCAAAAAAAAAATAGTTAAAGGGAAAACTATACATTTGATCACATTAGAAGGTAAAACGTGCTTGGATACATCCCAATAGCCATAAAAGATCAGCCAGGCTGGAAGAAGTACTTGCCATGCAGATAATGGGAAAATTGATCATTTTTTAAAATTGTAATGGTTAACCCTGGAAATTACCAAGACAACCCAAGAACAAACCAGGCAAAAACAATAGGAATATCCAATTCAATAGAAGATAAAGTTGACATTCTCAACCCACTCACCAGGGGAATCCGAAACCAAATACATGACATAGCCTTCACAGCCATCGGGTCAGCCCTTGTCAAAGGTCACTGACGCCAAGTGGTGGCCAGGGGGTGGCATTTCCCTGCCCTGCTGGTAGGAGTATAAGTTGGGCAATGCTTAGGGAGCAAATATAGCTAGTCAGAACCTTCCACACGGCAACTGCAATTCGATACCAAGACATGGAACTGCACACTCATTGCGGGATTATTTGTAATAGCAGTGTGTGTGTGTGTGTGTGTGTGTGTGTGTGTGTGTGTGTGTGTGTGTGTGTGTGTGTTAGTCTGGGTAGACTAGAGAAACAAATTCATAGACACTCATATGTGTATAGGAAAGAGTTTTATATGTAAGAGCAATTGAATATTGAGAAAACATCCCAGCCCAGTCCAGATCAGGTCCATACGTCCAATATTAGCCCATTTGTCCAATACCAATCTATAAAGTCCTCGTCAGACTCACTCAACACATGCAATGATGCTGAATGCAGGAAGATCACAGACCAGTGGGTGCAAATTCCTGTGCATCCAGTGGCGGTAGAGACATCTCCCCTGCTGGCAGGGGTGTCGTGTGGTTCCTTCAGCTCTGAGGCTCTGACTGCCATCCGCCTGTCTCCATGTGGCTTGTCAACAAGAATGTCTCGCAGGGACGGAGCAGAGAGACTGTGTCTCTGACCTCCAAGGAGGAAACACAGGAGTTCCCAGAATCCTTAGGCCCACACAGAGGCCTCATTGGCAATATCCTGATTGACAGGCTGGACTCTACCTCTGCACCTCCTCAAAGTGACACCAGATTATGTAACTACCACTATATATATATATATATATATATATATATATATATATATATATACACACACACACATATATATATACATTGTGAAATAAGCTAAATACCCATTAACCGGGTGGTATATCCATAGAATATATCCATAGGAAATGGTGTATCCATAGAATTTTAACTACATCATCCTATACAGTGGTTAAAATGAACGAACTACAACTAGATACATCAAAATGACCGGTTCACTCAAAAACATAACATGGCACGTAAAAAGAAGACGTTTGCAGAAAAAGAAGGGAGGAGTCTGTTACCATTTGCATAAAGTTTCGAAACAATGTTATATATATTTAGCCAGGGTACCCAAATATCCAGGGACCAATAATACCAGAGTCAGTGTAGAACAGTGGTTCTCCACCTTCCTCATGCCGCCACCCTTTCATACAGTTCCTCATGTGGTGGCGACCTCCCAACCATAAAATTATTTCCGTTACTACTTCATCACTGTCATTTTGCTACTGTTAGGAATTGGGCGACCCCTGTCAAAGGGTCAATTGACCCCCAAAGGGGTCACAACCCACAGGTTGAGAATCACTGGTCTAGTAGAAGGGAAGAGAAAGGGGTCTCAGAGGGGTCCAGGGGATGCTGCCATTGTTTCGGGCACGTGAGGTTGACCACGTGAGTATCAGGTTCTCTCCCCCTCTTCCCCAGGTGTGCCACAGGGGAGGCCTGGCAAGACATCATGCTGGCCTGCATGCCGGGCAGGAAATGTGCCCCAGAATCTGAGCCCAGCAACAGCACGGAGGCAGAGACACCTTGTGGCAGCAGCTTCGCCGTCTTCTACTTCATCAGCTTCTACATGCTCTGCGCCTTCCTGGTAAGCCCCGGCGGGACTGCGCGGCCACGGGGCAGGAGGGTGCAGGTTCAGGACTGCCCCAAGCCTTTTCTCTGCACTCGTGGTCAGAGCAACCCCATCCAAGGGGCTGGAGGGATGTCCATCTGCAGGGAGATATGGACAGAAAGCCCTGGCCAGAGCTCAGGAAACCCAGCCAGCCACCATCATTCCTACCCATTCAGTGCTGTCTGTCCGGGTGGCCTTGTCCCAGAAGGCAAGGAATCTATGTGGAGGCCTCAGGGAACTTCTACTTTCTGGGCATTTTGCTGAGGAGTGAGGAGAAGGTGATGAATGGAGTGGCCCTGCTCCATGGCAGCATGCCCAGCAGCTTGGCTGAGGGAAGCAGTCGGGCCGACCTGCGGGGTTGGTTCCCCACAGCTCCCAGTGGAGCGGTATGGAGTTTATAGCCAAGAGGCTCTGTTGCCGGAGCTGATGTTTTTTCCCTGGTGGTGGATGAGTGGTCCTGGGGAATGCCACGCGCAGGCTCAGTTGGCAGCGTGGATTCAGGTGGCTGGTGTGCCAGAGGGTCCTGTGCGAGCGGCCTGATTGAACGCTCTGCTCTCTGCAGATCATCAACCTCTTTGTAGCGGTCATCATGGACAACTTTGACTACCTGACGAGAGACTGGTCCATCCTCGGGCCCCACCACCTGGATGAATTCAAGAGGATCTGGGCCGAGTATGACCCTGAAGCCAAGTAAGTTCCCAGGAGGAGAGCTTGACAAAGCGACTGAGTTGTGCGAACGGCAGGAAGGGACAGCCTGGGTGGTCCACTGGAAACACTGCATCGTCATCAGAGCCCAGGCTAACGGGTCAGTGGCAGTAGGAGGAGGTCAGGCACTTTTAGCCAGTGATTTACAGCCCAGAGCCATGGAGTGGATTTCGACTCGCCAAGCCCCCATGTAAGTTTCCATGGCCATAAATCGTTAGAGCAGTGGTTCTCCACCTTCCTAATGCCGTGACCCTTTAATACAGTTCCTCGTGTGGTGGTGACCCCCCCATCCATGAGAAATATGCGTTTTCCGATGATCTTAGGTGACCCCTGTGAAAGGGACGTTGGACCCCCAAAGGGGTCACGACCCACAGGTTGAGAACCACTGCTTTAGAGGAATGAAAAACCTCATCTTCCTCCTAAGGAGCAGCGAGTGGGTTAGAACCACCGACCTTGCTTTTGTAGCCCATCAGCTTCTAAGGGGGCTTCTTTTTCAGTGGATAGGAGACCTTAATGTCAGGAGTAACTCATGAGCACACACATTAGAATCATATAAAAAGCAACAGTATTTCAGTTCTGGCTAGGCCGGAGCATGTACACAGGTACAGATAAGAGCTCATGACACACAGAATCCAAGTCAGATAAACCCCTCAGGAACAGAAATGGGAGTAGTGTTACCCGGAGGGTAGGGGAAGGTGTGGGGAGAAGGGGAGGAAGGGAAACCGATCACAATGATCCACACATAGCCCCCTTACCCCCACCCCCAGGGGACGAACAACAGAAACATGGGGGAAGGGAGACAGTGGTCAGTGTAAGACATGAAAACAATAATAATTTATAATTTACCAAGGGGTCAAGAGGATGGAAAAGTAGGAGGGAGGGGAAAAAGAGGAGCTGATACCGAGAGCTCAAATAGAAATTAAATGTTTAGAAAATGATGGCAACATACGTACAAATGTGCTTGGTACAATGGATGTGTGGATGGTTATCAGACCTGTAAGAGCCCCCGATGAAATGATCTTTAAAAAAGATCAACAACAACAGGAAGGCAGTCGTCATCCAGTCAGTCCTGCCTCGTGGCGACCCCACAGGGCGAGTGGAACTGCTGCTTGGGGTCTCTGAAACAGAGAGCCTCATCTGTCTCCCACAGAGCAGCTGGTGGGGTTGAACTGCTGACCTTGTGCTGCACAGCCCAACACGTAATCCACTGTGCCAAGGGCAGGCATACCTTGATTCCAGGCCTGCCTCTGATCCAAGGTTACCTTCATCGACCAATTGCATTTGACTGATGCTCAGTAAATACCTCTTGGTTGATTGAAGCAGAGTACATGCCAAGAATCTCAATGCACTACTAAACTCCCTTCTCCCCGAATACAGCACGGATGGAAGATGCCTCGGTAAAATCTAAACAGATGTGGATTGGGGCCGTGTGCTGTGCAGTTCTGTGGCTCGGTACCACGTGTGTCTGGCAGGCTGCAAGCCCCAGGGAGTGTCGACACCCCTCTCCACTGCCCTTTTCTCTTTCCTCCAACCTTGCTCTTGTAGGGGCCGGATCAAACACCTAGATGTGGTGACCCTGCTCCGGCGGATCCAGCCCCCACTGGGTTTTGGGAAGCTCTGCCCTCACCGCGTGGCTTGCAAAGTAAGTGGAGACCTGGATCCGTGGGGGGAAAGCCAGGAGGGGGGGCAGTGTGCCTGTTTGTCTTGTGATCTTAGAAGACCTCTGCTCTTCCTTCCTTTGAGGGCACGGGGTAACATTTCATGTGTCTAAAGGAAAGAGTCCTGAGCCAGATGAGCTTTAAGGCTCCTGGCAGCAATTAGTGCTCAGCCTCTGTGGAGAAATAGAATGACTGCCTCATCACCCACAAGCCCCATGCCCACCCAGGCCTGAATAGATGACCTTGTTCCGAGTGGAGCTCTGCTGCCCCATCAGGCTGCTTGTGGAACAACAGAGAGAAGACATCCCCGCCCAGGCATCTAGGAGCGTCCCCAGCCTAGACTGTAGGGGCGAGGGATTCTTTCCCCAGAGCGGGGGCCCAGTAGAGGGTCCACGGGCTGGCTTCAAGGATTTGTGAAGCCCTAACAGGATAGCATAATCACTCCAACAACGATTTTACCAGGAAGGGGATCCTGGACTCACTCCAACAACGATTTTTACCAGGAAGGGGATCCTGGACTTCCCATCTGATTCCGCAGCGAGTCCATGACTTTCAATAATGTTGAAGACAAGCACCCTCCATTCTATGAGACTCCTGCTCGTGTGGGGCTGGTGTGACACACCCCCCCTCACCCCCCCAAGCAAGTGCCAGCTTAAACCCGGAGCCCTCCATGTCCCGCCAACTTCACTCTGATGCCAGACCTGGGTCCCAACAGCCGCAGAAAGTGTCCTTTCCACTCTGTGTCCTCGCCTGTCCATTGCCGCCTCACTCTCTCCTCGGGCCGGGCACAGGACTGGGAGGCGCCAAGGTCAGAGAAAGGCCCAAGGGCTCTGCTCCGTGGCTAAGACGCTCCCCATCTGACCGCCACTTCAGTCTAGAAAAGATTTCCGATTCCCAAGAGTTCTGGGCCCACAAAGCGGAAGAAAGAATAGACAGTAAAAGGGGTGGGGGCTGGGGTGGGAGGTGCCGCCAGGACAGGGCTGAAAGGCAGTCCCCGGTGTCTGTCCGACCGAAGGCCCTGTGGAAAGGGAGCCTTGGACAGAGGTTCAGTCCACCCTGTCTGCATGAGATGCAGCGGGGCCCAGTCACTCGGGAGGAGACAGGAGGGCTCTGTCACATGATGGCCCCGGAGTGTGCCGATGTCACCAAACCCACAAAACGGAAGCAAATTCTGGTGGTGGGGGGAGGGGTGGCGTGGCGACACAATGCAGTCCGGACTGGTGTCAGCCAGCCCCTGCTCCACCCTGGTGCAGAGGCCGTGTGGTGGACGCCTAGGAAATGGCTGGGCAGCAAACCCAGGGTCCCTCCGTCTCTCCTCCGGCTGTTCGTGAGTGCTGACTGGCAAGGGAGCTCCGAGCTGGCTCTCACACAGCTGGGTGCTGCGGCCAGCCCGGAGCCGCCCCAGATGCCTAAGCAGACCCCGAGCAGGTGGCAGCTGAGTGGGTTTCACGTGGAATCAGAGGTCTCCTGCGGGAAAATGCTCTTCTTCCTCACTCAGAGGGGAGAGTGGGAGTATGTGAAGCCATGTTGAGGACCCCCCCCTTCCCACCTGAAAAGGTTTGGAAGGCATTTCAGTGACCCAAGCTTCTCACCCCACCCACTCCTCACACCCCCACTGACACCCACGGGAACTGGCAGCTCCCCCTGCCCCAGCCTCCTCCGGCTGGGAGGCTCTGTGGGCCCTGGACGCAGGGTTCGCTGACATCTCTGGCTTTGCCTCTCTCCTCCACAGCGCCTGGTCTCCATGAACATGCCTCTGAACAGCGATGGAACGGTCATGTTCAATGCCACCCTCTTCGCCCTGGTCAGGACGGCCCTGAGGATCAAGACAGAAGGTAAGGGCTGCTCTGGAGAAGAGAGAGGTGTCCCGGCCCGGGGATCTGCAGTGCCCTGCAGGCACATTGAAGGCCCTCCCATGGGCCTGCTCATCTTAGAAGGCTGCCTTGCCAAAGCCTTATTTCTTTTGAACTCCAGTCTTCCCTCAAACCCTGGGGACTGCTCGGAGCCGCCTCCTGAGGCTCTGGGGTGCACTTGGTCAGACAGAGGAGAAGCAGAACCGAGTCCCGGCACAGTGGGATTCTACTGAATCTCACAAGCACTCCACACTCTTGTTAAAGGCCAAGGCCCTGTTTCCGGAAAGGGACATAGTAGCCAACGTTGACTAAGGTCTAGGCACTCAGAGGTGGCAGTAAATCTCACTGTGCTCTGCCTACCAGGCCACACCCAGGACTCGCTCCACCTAGAAGGGCTGGCTCCCTCTAGGCTGCACAACAGAGCCCAGGGGGCTCTCAGCAGCCTCGGGGAAGGAAACTCAACTCACTGCCTTTGAGTCGGTACTAACTCAGAGCGCCCCCAGAGGACAGGGTAGAACTGCCCCCTGTGGGTATGTGAGACTGGGACTCTAGCCGGGACATAGCAACCCTGTGTGGTGCAGAGGGAAACACTGCCCTGTCCCTGCCACCCACACCCGAGGTCCGTTGTTGTGGCTACTGTCAGACCTCCTAACTCTGCTCCCACGGGGCACAGGATCCAGACTACGTGTTGCACCCGCTGCTAGAGGAGCTGCATGAGCGAAAGTAGAGCCCCACTGAGGTGGCGCCTACTGGCGAGCGGTCTGTCTTCCTCCCGTGCTTGCTTGTGCCCGTTAGCTCCCCTCTGGGCATCTCAGGTTGCCCGTGCTGTGTGTAGCTGTGGCTCAGTAGAAGGAGTGCAGGCCTGGGAGAAAGGGGACTGACTGTAGGTCCCAGGGCTCTTTCCTTAATCACTCGCCTGCTCTGTCCGAAAGAATCTCTTTCGGTTTCTCCATTTGGAAAATGAGAATGGTAATGGCACCTGGGGATGTCACCCAGCGACTGACCCAGCGTGGTGCCTTCTCTCCTTTTAATCCTCCTGGAAATCGAAACATCAGAAGTGAAGGCAAAGCAGAAGCCATCCAACTAGATATGTGTCAAACTGTGCCCTAATCTCAAAGGATGAAGTAGCTCTTGGTCTACTACTGAACTGGAAATGCATGCCTTCCGTAGTCAGAGAGATGCCACCGCCCGCGGTCGGTGTCAGCAGGCATCGCTCTGCGGTCTGTCAGAAGAAAGAAACGCAGTCAGTCCCCGGGTTGCGAACATGCCGTGCACAACCCAAAGCAACCCCCTAGAAGCTTATTATTTCTAAAATGTAAGGTGCACACATCGACAAACAGGCGACACTTTGCAATGCATATCAAGACATCACCAATTGTTACTGTATGGTATCATGTTAAAGAGGCTGGAGTGTTCAAGTAAACCAGTCCTTAACAATAGCACCACGGAGTTCGAAGGTACAATTGTATGGTGACAATATATAACGATGATAGTACAGTCATTGAGACTAGGAGAGGCAGGAGAGAAGATAAAATAAAGGAGTCAGACACATTTCATGGCAGTATGCTCACGTCCGGGACGGCCATGATCTCAGCAGCCAGGTCTGCGCAGAGAGCGGGAGGAGGAGAGCAGAGGAGCCTCTTTAGTTCTGACCACGGCCTGTATATACTTAGGGGCATGCAAGCCCCACTGATTACAGGGAATTACATACGTCACAGGAAGGGGTTCTACGATAGGCCTACATGTCACAGGAAGGGGATGAGCTAGGGGTGTACAAGTAATAGGAAGGGGAGGGATTAGGGGTACATATGTGACAAGATGGGCGGACCCTAGACTCAAGATGGCAGCCTAACCTTGGTCACCCTTGAGTGGGGTCGACCTTGTCTCTGGGCTCTCCTTCAGGGAGGCAACCCACTATCCTTATGAGAAGGGAGTGGGCCCTACTTAGGGTGGGAATAAACAATAGTGTTGGATTGCTCTAGACGGCTGGTAACCCTCAGGGAGAATAACCTATCAGCAGTTTGCATTGACCTCCAAGAACACAGTCATTTACCATGTACAGCAAGCTGCATCCTAGGTTTGACATATATTTTGGGGAAGAAACCTGGGGAAAAGCCCTTTTGCATCCCACAATTCCCCCTTTTGTTTTATGTATTAAATTCAAAAGAGCTACAGGGGCAGCATGGTTACTTTCTGTATATTGAAAGCTGACAAAGCAAAATTAATGGCAAACATTTTGAATCTGGGCTTGGTGGGTAAAGTCTCCCCCAGGCCCATCCACAATTGTGAGGAGGTAGGAGAGGGGTTGGGTGACACGTGAGGAGAGCTGGAGCAAACAGGGATGTCTGCTTCCACAGGAAGACAGAATCAACCAGGTACTCACTTGAAGGCAGCAGAGCTGTTAAGGGGGAATCTGTGGAAATGTTAGTTAAAGCAGGATAATGTGCTTGAACTTGATCTCTAACTTAACAAAGTGGTAGCTTTCCTACCGTGGAATACTAGCGTTCCAGATTCCCTCTGTTTTAAGTTAGGGAATGCATCCTAGTCCTATTTTCCTCAGGGTTGGTTTCCCACACTGCAGTCCATCTGGAAGTGTTTCTTTAGTCTTTTATGCATGGAATGGTACAAAAACAAACACAACCAAAGAAGCTCACGGCCACGGAGTCAGTGCCAACTCACAGTGACCCTGTAAGACAAGGCAGAACTGCCCCTGCGGGTGTCTCAGACTGTGGCTGGTAGCAGGAGTAGACAGCACCTTCTCTCTTCTGAGGAGCAGCTGGTGGTTTCAAACTGCTGACCTTGAGGTTAGCAGCCCAATGTGTAACCACTGTGCTACCAGGGTGCCTCGAAAATGTGTGTGTGTGTGTGTGTGTGTGTGATCATGAATTGTGCATGTCTATATTCTAAAACAAACATTTGATTCAAGGCATTAGATATAAACCATACCCAACTGTTCTGACTTAGGTGCAAATTTGACTTAAAGACAAATGTAAGGAAAGGAACTCACTCAATATCCTGGGACTGCCTGTACACATTTTATGCACGTGTGTGTGTGTGTGTGTGTGTGTGTGACATAGAAGAAGACGTGGACAGGAGTGTGTTAGCATGTTGGTGTGGACTGAATTATATCCACCAAAAGGAAGCCCTAACCATGGTACCTGTGAACATGACCTTGTTTGAAGGTCTGTCAGTACGCATTTGCACATCCCGGATTACCTGGGTCCTCATTCAACCAGAGTGTCCTCAGAGAAGAGAAGAGACCGCGAGGCAGGTAAAGGACAGTCAGGTGGAGACAGCCGAGGAACACATGGGTTACCAGAAGCTGCCGCTCTCCCCACCCACCCGTGGCGGTTCCTCTAGGTCACACAGCCGGGGGCGGAGGGGGGTGGGTTCCGCCTGCTGACCTTGGTTGTCACAGAGTGGTGGGCTCAGCAGTGACCTAGACCTTCGTCCTTTTCTTTGGATACTTGCCGGATTTTCCACAGTGAATAGTATTGCATGTTTAGAGAGAAGAGGTTTTCTTTTCCAAGGAGAGACTAAGTCCCAAGGTACTGCCAGAAGGGATGTGCTACAATACTTAAAAGAGACAGCACGCTTGTGTCCACTGCCTCATTTCTCTGAGCCTAAAAGCCACTGGTTCCTCGGGAGCAAAGTGGAGAAGACTCGGGGAAGGGAACGTGCAGGCGCAAAAGCACTGAGAGCCTTGACACGTTGTGAAAAGTGCCGCCGGCGTCACTGAGCACCTTGCATGGGAATTGTCAGCTGGGAATCTCATTTGCTGCACCAGCTTTCTTGGAAAGCACGGTGATCTTCCTTTAAAGAAGAAACAGGGGAAACGATGATGCTGCCGACGCCACCGCCTGGCTGCCTCATGGACAACATAGCAGGGCCTTGTCTGGTCCTGTGTCAGCCTCCTGATGGTCTGCGTTTCGTTCTCTGGTACACAGGGTCATCGTGACTCGGACTTGGCTTGATGCGATGTTCAGAAGTAGATCACCAGGCCTTTCTTCCTGGTCTGTTGTAGGCTCAAAGCTCCACTGAAATCTGCCCACTGTTAATGGTCCCTCTCGTTATTAGAAATACCAAATTCATGGCCACACAAAAGCCACCACAGTGCAGCCAGTCGACACCTGGGTGGTAGTCAATGCTTAAAACCTAATATCTACTGATAAGCCCCATACAGGAACAAACAACACTGATACAACATATCACAATTACAGGTGGGAAGACAGAAATACAAACAGAACCATGATCAGGACACATATATTTATGGCAGGCCACAGGGTTCACAAGATCGGTCCAGGGCCTTCTGACCAAGGCAGTGAAGGCATGGCTCTTGACAATGGCCCTGCAGTATCCTGACCTCCATCAGGGACACACTGGCGACGCCCCTAAAGGGGATTGCCCCTCCCTGGGCTGGCTGCGGGGCTAGAGGCAGTGGCTTTCAAATGCAGTCTGCCTGAGGTCAAGACTGTCCAGTCCTGGTTAATGGCCGCCTGGAGGCTCCATCCACGTGGGGACTCTGCAGATGGACTTGGGGCTTTCACTGTTACCCAAAGCCTTCTTCAAACGCAATGGCAGGAATGTAAGCTCCAGTACAGAGAGTAGGCATTCCCAAGAGAAAAGGAAAGCTGCTGCTGTAGGAACTGCACTCGAGATTGAAAGCTCATCTTTTCAACGCAAAGACTTTGCAGAGGAGCCTCTCAAAGGGCCTGCGCGCCCCACTCAGGGATGAGCCTTCACCAGAGACAGCCCCCTTCCCCGTTTTTTGGGAATTGTTGGGCGGGGAAAGAAAGGCAAATCCGTCAGCCACTAGAAAGAAATGCGAGAAAACATTGAAACTGTGAGAGTGAGATTCGTATCCATCCTCACCCTTGAGACTTTCGGGAGCAGAAGGAACAGGAGAAAATCAATACCTGCTCCAGAGGGGCAGAGCCGTGTCCCAAGTCCAAGTCTGAACCAAACAAACGTTCCCCTTGGATCTGCCAACTACAAAACTAGTCCAGACGTTGGAAGGGAGAAGCTTGATTCAGAAAGAAGGAGAACGTGGCCGTGGCTGCAGGAGGAGCAGCGCTTGTGACAAGGACACTGACGACTGTAAACCCTGGAAGTGTCTGGAAGGGTTTTCGTTCATGAAAACTCAGAGAAAGCTCAAGGAAGAGGAAGTGGGCGTAAGGGCTGAGGTGATCAGATCTTACATCAAACGTTTTGGATGTAGGCCGACCTCTGATACAGGAGGGGCACCTTAAAGATGGGTCACACGTCCTTTAGACTGAAAGCTGAAATGCCCTGGTGTGAGAAGGAGATGATGTTGCTATCCCAAGAGTGTGGATTTAGAAGTCATTGGACTACAGTTCAACCTTCTTGAGCTTATAATTTTATAATTCCGTAATTGGCAAATTAAGACAACCATGTGTGTTGGCACTTCCGTGGTTTCTCTTTTTGTTTGTGTGTGACATGCGTCAGTTCTGAAGACAGTTTCGCCCTATTGAAATCCGTGCCGTGTCTAATCCTCTCTCTCCTTAAACAGGGTTCAGTCGCTTAAGTTTTTTAACCTTTCAAAGTGAACATTCCATGTATTTTAGTCTAAAAAGCTTTCCTATGTATTTCCCCTTGTCTTAAAAGTCTTCTAAATTCTATACTGTTAGCTAGATAAACTTAGAGGATGTAAAAAATGGTCAGTAATGATAATTAATGATGCAATTATTAGTATTATCAAAGGTCCTGTGAGGGTCACTTATACTATCAGTAAACTGATAATGCTGCCTCTTACATGAACTAGCGATAAACCTTGGATATTTTGAACTCACACTTAATCTTACACCCTAATCCTAGAGCAATTAGTCCTGATGATGTAGCCCTACTCAATACTTGCCCTCATGAAGTAATCACTGAAGATAGAGAAAAGTGCTATGAAGAAATCAGAGGGTGCCCATCTATCAGAAAGAATAGTGTCTGGGGTCTTAAAGTCTTGTCTTAACATAAGCAGCCATCTAAGTGAAGTGTCAGCTAAGTCCACACAGAAGAAGTACACCAGCCTGTGTGACCAAAGCATTGTAAATAATAAAATCCATGATCAGAGGAGGGAATTACATTGGAGCTTCAATTCTGAGCACCTCGTTTGCAGGAGTCTATGGATGACGGTGAAAGCCCAAAATGTATTTTCAGAGTCCCCCCATGGATTCCCTCTGAACATCAGCTAGGGATATACAAAATAATCAATCCTGCCCTCAGGGAGTGTATTGGATATAATCTTACCTCTACCTGTATAACCACTCCAAGGAGGAGCAGTCTCCCGTTGGGGCTTGCCTGAGTGTGCTTCATGGAGATCATGGTATGCAGAAGGGGGACCCATACTCGTGAGTGTGCCCGGACTGCCTTGGAGAGGCCCCTGGACCAGTCTTATAAGCAGCTCTGTCTACGACAATGTGCATATCCCGATCAGGGTCGCCTTCTCACTCTGGTAATTCCATCTGCAACGTTTGCATCTTGGTCTGCTGCCCATCTTGCACTGGTGACAGCTTGCCTTGACTTTCCATGCCCTCTCTAAAGTGCTGTGCATTAACAAGCCCTTGGGCACCATTATGACCTTGTGTTAATTGTCTCCTTCATCTGGATAATGTCTTTCTCTTGTCCTGATTAAGACTTTAATAAATGTTCTCTTTAAAGTGACTAACTATCAATGAATGGCACATAACCACACACCCCCACCCAGGGGGAAGAACAACAGAAACCACAGGAGAAGGGAGACAGCGGTTGGTGTGAGATTTGAAAATAATTAACCATCTACAATCTATCAAGGGGTCATGAGGGTTGGGGTGGGGGGTGTGAGGAAGGGAAAAAAAGAGGAGCTGATCCCAAGGGCTCAATGGAAAGTCAATGTCTAGAAAAGAACGATGGAATACATGTACAGATATGTCGGATACAATTGATGTATGGTTTGTAACAAGAGTTGTAAGAGCCCCCAATAAAATGACTTTAAAAATGAATTGTTTTAAAAATAAGAAGTAAAGCAACTAACTAAATGAAAATCAAATATATTAAATTATACTCAGCTGAAGGTGGGTTTGGGGGAAGGGAAAAGGGATGTCTCTGATTGGTTTGTAGGGACAAGCTGTGTAGTTACCAATTGATAGGCAAAGAACGAGAAATGGGAGGGTCTGCATGTGGCCAGAAGGAGCCCTGGTGATCACTAGTTACGTGCTCAGCTGCTAACAGAAAGGTCCGTGGTTCAAACCCACCAGCCACTCTGAGGGAGGAAGATGTGGCAGATTTGGAGTCTCTGGGGCAGTTCTACTCTGCCCATAGGGTGCTGTCAGGCAGATCCAATGCCCACAGGTGTGTGTGTGTGTGTGTGTGTGTGTGTGTGTCCGTCCTGCTCATCGATAAACAAGAGCACATCTCTGAGTCTCTAGGTTACATGGAAAGAGTGGCTATTTGCAGGAAACTGTTTTCCTGACCACAGAGGGGTGTGAGGGAGTTCTTCAGCCATCTGTCTTCCGTGTCTCTATCACAAAGGTCACATAATGCTCAACACTCTCAGAATATAGGACTAAAACACTTTAAAATACTTAGAGGATGGCAGCAATTTGCCGGTTAAAGCCCGCAATCATGGAAGCCAAGGATGGGCAGACTGTGGCTGCCAAGCCACGTGCATCTCTTCCGGTACGTGCGTGAGGTTCTGAAGTAAAATTGAAAACGGCTAACGGATCTTATTCAGATGATGGTGATCCCATTTGTTTGTAAAATATATGTATGGCTCTCGCATAATTTTTAACTTGTTGCGAGACATTGAATTGGCTCTTCTGTCTCAAAAGTTGCCGACCCCATTATGAAACTAAATTGAGGCTTTAAAAAATATGAAAAATCCTTTGGGAAGAGAAGTGTGTTTGCATATTATTTTAATTAGTGATTTCTATTGTGTCCAAAAAATCCCACAAACTACTTTAAAAAGAAAAGCTTTGTATTGTGACTCAGATGAAGAGTTACTGAGCAAATCAGTTTTCCACTCAACAATTCATGCACATTTTTGTCATATCATTGATTCCAATCCCCACAATGCAGCACCACTCACCCTACTTTGTCCTTCTGTTTCCTATTTCTGTTCTTCCTTGGGGAGCCCTGGTGACATCATGGTTACATGTTGGCCTGCTAACCCCAAGGTCAGCAGTTCAAAGCCACCAGCCACGCTGAGAAAGAAAGACGAGGCTTTCTACTCCCATGAGTTACAGTCACAGAAACCCACAGGGATAGTTCCACCCTATCCAATAGGGTCACTGTGCATCAAAACTGACTCCAGAGAAGTGAGATTTTTGGTTTTATTTTTTCTTTCTTAACCCTTTTGAACTTTGCGCCTGGATAAATGCTACCCTTTTAAGTCACATATTGAGTATGCTAAATGTGCATGCCTCCCTAGTTCCCCTTAGAGACCTGTCTGTTGCTTGGCTGAAAATTGAGTCATGAGAGTGAGTCCTTGTGTCCATCCGTCCTTGTTTCCTTCTGGCAGCCCAAGGAAGAGCATAGGGATTGGCCCTCTTCCTACCCAGTGGGCAGGGGGAGTTGTCGCGTGGATGAGTGAGTCTGTCCTGGTGACACTGCCCAGGGCCCTGCAGTTCAGCCCTGGCGTCCATGGTCTCTCACGGGGGAGATGCAGCGTGGATGGAGGTGACACAGTGGTGTTGACCGGACTGAGCAACAGGCAGGAAAGCGGGAGAAAGAAACAGCATTGGACGTCGGGAGCAAGGGGAGGGGCGAGGCCGAGAGAAGAAGAACATTACACTGACCAAGAGCAGGTTCTGCGTCGGGCTGCGTACCACCCGGGAGAACGAGGGGGCTCTCTGCTCCCCTAAAGACTTAGTTACAGCCTCGGAAACCCGCCGGGGCAGTTCTCCTCTGTCCTGCAAGGTCAGTGAAGGAGTCAGGTCTTGGCCGGTAAGGTTCCCCTTTGTACAGCAACCTCCTCAAGGACTGTGTCTCCCCTTTCTGCGCTCTGTGTCTCCCCTTTCTCAGGGAACCTCGAGCAAGCCAACGAGGAGCTGCGGGCCATCATCAAGAAGATCTGGAAGCGCACCAGCATGAAGCTCCTGGACCAGGTGGCGCCCCCTGCCGGCGGTAAGTGCCCTGACGTCCGCACGGGGACACGCCCATAGCCATCTCTGGTGGCCCCTTGCTCCAGTGGTGGCAATCATCAGAAATGGGGGGCTGCCCCTGCAGCTTGTGCTTTTGGGGGGCCCACTGGGGTATGCTTTCTGCAGACCCTTTCTGCAGGCCCAAAGGCCCTATCGGTTAGAAGGGACAGGAGTGTCTCAGGTTCAGACTGTGAGATGGAAATGTGGACCCCCCTGCATTGGACAGATGGGGCCAGGCCAGGCCCTTTGATGTTCAGACGACGGGCAGGCTTTCGAAGGAAAATGCCGCGGTGTACACGTTTACCCACAAACCCCTGGGCTGATGGCCCAAGGATCATGAGGCCCTCAAAGAAGACTCCCAGGAAGCCTGGATTCTCTAGCCTGAAATTCTTTTTCCTCCTGACATAGCAGTCGTTCCCAGCCAGCCCGCCCAAAGTGCCCCTGCCCCTCGCCTACAAGAAACACAGAGATCATATAACCATTTTTATGATCAATTCCAAAATATTAGTATACCGCTTTAACTCATGTCAGTGGTCCTAAAATCAAATGGTTCTCAATGTGTGCACGCTGTGGCACAGGTCATAATTAACTGATGAAGTGCTCACATGCATGCAGGTCCCACGAGCAGGCTTGCGTTTAGAAGGAGGGCGACGTTGAATATTGCTGCCGCTAGGTCTTTGGCATTTTGAAGGAAGGACAAAAGTGAATGTATCTACAGTGAAACTGCCAACTGCGGGGGCCTGTGGGAAGTGGAAGCTTGTCAGACAAAGGGCACTCAAGAATCCCTTACTGATAGGCATAGAGAAGTGGTAAGATTGCGTCCTATCACGGGTAGACAACTAGGGAAGCCAGTGAAGCAAGGCAGTCCCTCCAAGCTCCGGCTCTCATGGGTTTCACCGTGTCTATATACATGTACATGCATGCACATGCGTGCCTGTGGACACAGGGCTTCCATGGCTGAGAGTGACCACTGCAAAAACATTCTGGTACAAGAGGGTCAGAGACAGCAAAGGAACTACAAGGGCGTTGTCACCGGGGCTGTTATTTCCCAAAATGTGCACCCCTCTGGGTCCAGTTCAAATAAAACCAGGTGCGGCCTTCCTTCAATTCACAGCACAGTTGTATTCCTGGAAGACTCCTGGATGCTAAAACCAGGCCCAAATGTGCCATGTGTTCCTGTGCCAGGTTTTTTTATCTGAAAGCAGGTGGTTCCCTTCTTAACAGGGTGCTTAGAAGCTGTGCAGAGAGCTAGGATAGTATTTGTTGGACTAAAGGCCAGTCGCACCCATATCACCATGACAAGTGAGCTATGCCCCAGATGTTTCCAGAACGCTCCTTAGGAGGTGAGTTAGTCTGGGTAGACTAGAGAAACAAATCCACAGAAACTTACATGTATCTAAGAGAGAGTTTATGTAAAAGGTACGTGTACATTAAGAAAGCATCCCAGCTGGCCATGGGAGCTGTGACTGACGGCGAAGTCATCTAGAAGCATCCCCTCATGGATGGAGATGGCGCTGGAGATGACCTAAGAATTGACCTGCTCATGAAAAGCTTCATTAAGTGGTGCAATTCTGAGTCCCAGGAAGAGGGAGATAGCCAGTACCAATGTATGCTGAGCACACTGTCTCAGTGGGAATTTTCAGTGGGCAAAAACCTTGCTGGTATATGATACGCGTCTCAGAGAAATGGAAAATTATGAAAAAATTTACAAAGAAATAGAATGTAGCATCGCTGGAGCCCATGCAAAAAACAAATACTTCAAGCAAAAGGAATACGAAAAAATCGCAAGAGTATGATGCTTCAGCAAACGTCATCCAGCACCATCCCAACAGACAAGAAATGGTAAAGGAACCAGAGCAGTGGCTCTCAATCTTTCATACCGTTCCTCATGTGGTGGTGACCCCAACCATGAGACTATTTTCATTGCCACTTCCTCACTGTAATTTTGCTACTGTTGTGAATCGGGTGACCCCTGGGAAAGGGTCGTTCAACCCCCAAGGGAGTCGAGACCCACAGGTTGTGAACCGCTGGGCTAGCGGCTCTGGGTAAAGAATTACAGCATCTTTCACATATTAAAGAAAGTGTTGAAGATAAGCTGATATTGAGGCAGAAACAGTTTCACGTTCTACCATCTATGCACTTCAGCAAACACTGGAAAATGATGAAAAACGCTCCGAAGTAGAAGAAGCTCAAGAAACACGCATGGCTACAGAGCCTAAGCCATCAACAAGCTAATCTCGCACCATCCCAGGAATACTGAACTAACCATATGATCTCAGTGTGTTTAGAAACGTTTCTATTTTTCGAGATACTTAAAATTTCTATACTGAAATACTTTGCTTTTAAAAGCGATGCATATTTTATTTGCATTTCTACACACAACAGAAAATAACTTCAGCACAGACTTGCTTTTATCCAAAATGTTTAATAAACTGATTTCAAACAGGAAAAAAAAAAAGAAAGTAGCCCAACCCAGTCCAGTCCAAGCCCATAAGTCCAACATTAGCCCATATGTCTGACATTGATCAACAAAGTCCTCCTCAATCTCACAAAACACATGCCATGACGCCGACTGCAGGAGGAAAGCTGAGTCAGTGAGCGTGTAAACATCTCAGCGCTGGCAGGGGTCTCCACACAGCTGCTCCAGCACCCAGGGCTGCATCAGGGTAGGTCCATGCGGCTTCTCCTCAGGGATGTCTTGCAGGAAGTGAGCCTTGCCAGCTGAAGCAGGGAACTGGCTAAGGCAGCTACACCCTGGTCCAACTATCAGAAAGCAAGAGACCTGAGAACTAGAAAGAGCCATTAATCTCTCCGCCCTTCAATTAATCCCGCATGTGTTTATCAGCCAGGCTGGCACAATAAACCTTAACTATCACAGAAGGTGATGCTGCCCTCTGAACCCCTGAGACTCACTGGCTTCCCCATCATCGGGTCCATCCCAGAGATAAGACACCAAGGATGTCATGTCTAATTTTGGGTGCCCAGTCCAGCTGGGGCCCAGCCAAATCCTTCCTGGTAAGAAAACGCCATCTGTAAGATGGGGCATTCTCTTCCATGTGAACTCTCCCGCCAGCCCAGGCGTAGGTGTGCACTGAGAAGACCCGGCTCACTGTTGACGGGCACTTGGTGCTTTAGGATCAAGTAAGAGCACTCTCAGTTAAGTAAACAAAGCCAGGTGGGAGCAAGTTAGCAGCATGCTGCCTTTGCTATAAAATCAGGGGAAAGAGACCGCTGCTTCTGCTTGCACAGAGAATGCTAGAGCAGGGGTTCTCTACCTTCCCATGCCGCGACCCTTTCAGACAGCTCCTCATGTGGTGGTGACCCCCCCAACCATACAATTATGTTCATTGCTATTTCATCGCTGTCATTTTGCTACTGTTAAGTGACCCCTGTGAAAGGGTCGTTCAACCCCCAAAGGGGTCGTGACCCACAGGGTGAAATCCCCTGGGCTAGACCAATGCTCAGAGACTGAAACGGTGAGGGCAAAGTTTCTTTTATGTCTTGTTTTGGGGGTTTTTTTGGGTTTTTTATATGTCATTTTATCGGGGGCTCTTACTCACTGATAACAATCCATACATCAATTGTATCGAGCACATTTGTCCATATGTTGCCATCATAATTTTCAAAACATTTTCTTTCTACTTGAGCCCTTGGTATCAGCTCCTCTTTTTCCCCTCCCTTCCACCCTCGTGACCCCTTGATAAATGATAAATTATTATTATTCTCATATTTTACACCTCCGCGCTCTCCCTTCACCCACGTTTCTGTTGTTCATCCCCTGTGGGGGGCGTTGTACGTTGATCATTGTGATTGGCTCTCCCTTTCTCCCCCTACTCCCCCCTACCCTCATGGTACCTACCGCTACTTCCATTATTGTTCCTGAGAGAACAGGTTTTCTTAAAGTGATTTACAAATACTAAACTGCCACCTCACCGGAAAATAAAAATACAAGAGGCTAGCTATCGGGAGGTAATCGTTAGGCAGACGGGGGAGACTTTCCACCGTCTACCTTCTTCTATTTTATTTTACCTTTTTGAATCATATGAATGTACTGCCTCTTCCAAAAACAATAAAGGTCGACGTCAAGTCTGAATAGTTAAGAGGAAAATTATCGGAGGCCATCGTCCGTCCCCCACTTACCCGGTGCTCCCTTTCCTCGCCTGCCCTAGATGACGAGGTCACAGTCGGCAAGTTCTACGCCACCTTCCTGATCCAGGAGTACTTCCGGAAGTTCAAGAAGCGCAAAGAGCAGGGTCT